CTGCCAGGCAGGGGGGCGATTCCCAGTGCCCCCAATGCCCCATGATGCATGGGGGGCTCCCCCCTCCCACTGCCCCAGCCCCTTCCATGACTGCCTTGCCTGCCCCACCTCCAGCCCTTTAAGAAGAAAAAAAAAAACGAGAAAAACCCTGGGACTCACTGGCTCCTGCAGCAGCCTTGGGGCTTCGGGGGGCTTGTGAAAGAGCCCCCCAGATGGTGTGAGCCAGTGGGGGGCAGCAGGGAGGAATGGTGAGCCAGGGTTTTTTTTTCTTAAAGGGCCAGAGCTGCGGTGGGCAGGGCAGCCATAGGGGGCCTGGGGGAGTGAGGGGGAGGTTGGGGGGCTCATGCAGAGTCCCCCCATGCAGTGGGGGGCAGTGTGGATCACCCCCTACCTGGCACCACCCGGTGAGTTGGGGGTTTTGTTTCCAAGTGCTGGGAGCTGGGTCGGGCAGGGCAGCCATTGCTGGGTTGGGAGAGTGGGCGGGGGATGGGCCTGGCTGATTCGGCTGCTGCTGAATCTCTGACTCAGATTCAGCTGAATCGATTTGGGACGGTGATTCAAATCACTGTCCCCTGAATTGGCCAAATCTGAATCTGAAGCGAATACTAACCGCTTGGCACAGGCCTATTGCTGACCTTATTCAGAGTAGATATTAACATTTTTGTTTTATTTTTTGTGGTGCAAAAATAAGGCCTCATAACTTATTTACTACCGTTATTGAAATCTGCCCTAAAACCAGATGTATTCATTTCCTTGTGGGTTTTCTTTCACTATATTATCAGTGGGCGTCACAAACATTATTAGTTTTCAAAGCATGCCTGTGAGGTAAGGGGTATTCACACCCTTTCTAGTCTAAGGATGTCCATGACCAAAAGCAAAGAGAAAATTATCCCTCTCACCCTACTTAAACCTTTGAGGAGTCTGAAGGAGCAGGAGAAGCCTGCGTATGAATTATATGGATGGGGACTGAGTTGGAACAAAGATTGTAACTTTCTGAGCCCACAATAGGATCCTGAAAAACATCTGTAAATGAAGGACTGGGTAAAGAGGGGAGTGTCTTTCCTTTCCAGGTAGAGAGAAAAATGTCACTGAGAAGCTACTGATCACATGGGGATGAATTAGGTAGGAATTACGGCTCCAGCCCTGGCACTAGGAAGGAATCCTGTAAGGCTGCTGAGGTAGTCTGGAAAATGTCAGGCTTGGAGATGATAAGGGAGCCCTAAAAAGCTGATGCAGTAGTGGAGGGTGGATGAAAGTGTGATACTTATTATACTGCGGCTGACTTGAGGATCACTGAAAAGCAGGAGGCTGACAAGCAGTGAATGCTCAAAGAAGGAGCAGCAGCAAACAAAGCACGTTTGTCATTACATCTCATGGGCTTATTTACTTAGAATTAACACAAGGCCCTTCAAAGAACAAGGGAAGAGTCAGACAAGAGAAAACAACAAATTCTGACCATGCTATTAACTGGTTATTAAATGGGTGTTGGAAAATGGAATCATCCAAGATTAGTCAATCTGTAAAACTATTAGACAAGAGTATCTACATGAGAAAATTTGGGGTCCTGATCCTATGCCACATTACAAACCATGGAGGAAAAGAGCAGAAATTCTAAGTCTGGTAGGCAGGGTGCATGTACACATGCTTTCCATCTTCTTTTTCATGTGGGAAAAATGCATAGAACATGGAAACAGTAATGGTTTTAGGGAAGGCTTGAGGCATAAAGAGTTAGTTTTGATCCATACCAAGAGTAAATAGAGATCATGAGAAGAGTAACTCAGTAGTGTGAAAACTGGGAAACAGGTAATCAGGTGACTTCCTGTATGTCACGGGGTTTATCACTTGGGAGAAGACACCAATTCTGCAAGTGCAGAGGTGGAACCTGTCTAGGGACAGCTGGACAGCATCCCATTCTGGACAGAGAAATAATTCTGTCACTTTATTTGCCCATTAATTGAAGCAGCATGTTTCCCAGAGTGCACTACATCCACAATTTGCTATTAGATGGATAACTCCTGCTTCCCATGCACATTGTCTCATAGTAGTTGACACAGAAGTTGACAGTCTCTATCCTTCAATTTAACAATGATTGGCATTAGCCCCCCCAGCTTCTCATGGACTCAAGTTCTTTTATTGTTTTACACTTCCTACTCACTAAAGTCTCTCTAGGGTCATGATAATTCATGTCTTCAGAATATATGCTTCCTAGGGTGAGTGTTTCTCAGCACTTTCAGCTCTAATTAGCAGATCGGGGGGGGGGGGAACAGATCTGTGAAAATTCTTTGCAGGCTCACAGACAATGATGAAAATAAATCATCAGTTTTTTACTTGCTATATGTAACAGTCACAACAAATTAAAAATGTGACCTGAAACAGCCATCGCAGAACAGGACATGGAAAATTTCACTGATGTTTAGTTTTTATTTCATAATTTTCTAAAGATAACTTCATATCCAATCAAGTGTTATTCCTCTTCCTCCTCTGCACTTTAAGACAAATTTAGACATTTGGCATAACCTTGCAACCAGGTGAGAAGCTTCTAAAGAGAGGACTGAGGATTCTCAACACTTAGTTCAAAGAGCATAAAAAAACTCAGTTGGGAAGGAAAGTGTTTCCTCATATCAATCACTTGTAACATTTTGAAATATGTTTCCTCATTCCAAAATGTGACATATGGCAAAATATTAAACATTTTTTTTTACAAATCAATCCTCCCCTCTCCCACCAAAACCTTCCCCATATGGGTGGCATCTAATAATCTTGTTTTGATCATTTCAATCTTTTAAAATGTTTAGCCTGTTCAGTATAAACTAGTGGAAATTTCACAAAGAAAAAGTCTTTGTTTGAAAGACTTTCAAAGGAGAAGGTCAAAATATTTTGGCACTTCTGATTTACTTTTCAAATTTCTTTTTCTTGAAATGGGACATCTGATGACCCTAACTCTTTCACAAAAACTTCTTTGGTTTTGGTGAACTGAACTTTTCCAATGAAAAACCTTTGATCAGAAAATTATTTACAGTTCTACCTAGAGCTGCTAAGCTTAAGCTTTGGGTTATCTAGCTACTAAAACAAAGTAGTTGTTAACATCTGTCATGCTTCTGCCTGATGCGGTCAACTTTGTATAACTTATTATAGGCTGGTGACTCCCAAAGCGTGTGCTCTAGAGCAGCAAAAGTGTGCCATGAAATTGATACTTTATCAGCATCGGATTCCGCCCACAGAACTGTGTCATCCAGTTCACGGGGCTCTTCTAGTGTCCAGAAATTTGTTGGTGGGGGTGCAGTGGCAATTAACACTGCCACCCACTCCTGCTCCATTAAATTTCCAAGCTCCACATGCAGGGATCAGGTTTCAGTTGTATCAGCCCTGCATAACTTGATTGAGCTCCAGATGTGCCAGCCAATGCAGCTAGAACAGGCTCCTGCCGTGCCAACCTCATACAGCTTAAACAGGCTCCAACTGCACTGGCCCTGCACAGCTGGATCAGGAAAGACAGACAGGCAAATGTAAGAAAACAAGTATCTACATACCATGACTATTGCATCGTGATGTTTCCACAAGCCGACTATTTTGATCGTAGCATGCCATGGCCTGGTAACGATAACCTTGTCCACACTCCTTAATGTCTCCTTGCACTTTCATTCCCAATAATACTTCCACTTTGCCTTCTGGTAAAATACAGTCAGACCAGTTTCCCACGGGTTGAGCACTGTACTTGTCACATGGACAAAACTGATTCTCAATCAAGGGATACATCTGTGAGTTTTTGCATTTGTCCCTTTTTTTACTTTTTCCTGTGGGGAAAGGTGGAGGAGGATTATATAATTTTTTTAGACACTGCTTTTTTGTCATCTTGTATCAAAAACTGATAATGTCAAGTAATGATCTACAAATGTACAAGACCATATGACTTAAGGCCAAAGTTTTCAAATGTAGGTACCCAACACTAGGCATCTAACTCCATAGCCAGTCAAATTAAGTGATCTGATTTTCAAAAGCATCAAGCCCCTTTGCTTGCCTTAGTTTCAGTACTTTTTAAAACAAAGCCATCTATTATATTTGAATATGGATTTAAGTTCTTACCTTGTGACACCCCAATGTAAACATTTTAGCAATTCAATAGCAGGATGTTCTTTCCTTTCTAATTCACTAATGATGCAGAGAGCAATAGCAAATAAATTTTATTCATTTCTAGATAACAATTTTTCAAGTTTTAAAATTTATTTTTTGTAAAAGGAGAGAACACACATCTGTATACTAATACACTCTCTGAGGTTGTAAAAATCCCCAGTTTAGATTAAATATTGAAACAGCCCATTAATGAAATGAGCTCCTTTTGATTTAGTCCACTACGTTCTTGTATTTTTTTTCCAGATCTCTTCTCGAAACTCATTTAGTTCCCCCCATTACCTAATATCCTTTTTTTCTCCTATTGTTTGCAGTTTTTAATCTCCTCCTTTGTTAAGTTTGTTTTCTTTCCCCAGTATTTATTATCATACCCTATTGTCAGTCCTATTTTTATCCTATTTTTAATGATGAATGAAGGTTGGAAAGAAACATTTTATAAAATACCTGGTTTCAACTAGAAGATAATATAAATAAATACTCTGGGTGGGTTTCCTTGCCTTTCAAATTTCACACTTACATACAAGGAAACACTGACGTGACATAAGAGCACTGTTCTACTAGCCGCTGATTCAATATGTAAGATGAACATGGGATTTCTCCTTCTGTTCTCATTAGATAGCATCATATTGAAAACATGCGAGTTGCTCCTCCTTTTCATCTTCCTCCAAATGAACAATTAGGCTTTCATGCTCAATTAGCTCTGTAGATTGGACTGGATAACAGTTTGCAAGATGAAATTTATTCATTAAGGGCCAAACTATGATCTCAGCACCAGGCGAGTAGCCGAGCTCAGTAAAGAGAGGTACAAAGGGACCTATAAGTGTCCAGGTTGATAGGAGCTCCCCTTTGTTTAATTTTGAAGGTAATGGCCATCTCTTTCCCCTATGAAAGCAATCCTGACATGAACTGTTTACTAGAATTATAAGGGGTTATTGTGAGTCTTCTCAAAGATTATGACTCATTTGCTATCCTTAGCTCTTCCAATTTTGGTGAGTATCATATTACAGTGGTATAAAGCAGCCCCCTGGCTAAGTCAGCTGGTCTGGTTCTAGTGCAAGGTTGACCAATCTGAGGTATGTGTACCACAGTGGATACCACAGTGGCATGAGCATTTTTGGATTCGGAAGGGGGCAGGCAGCAAAGCATGAGATGGGGCGTAAAGCAAAGCAGCAAACTGGGCAGGGAGCACAGAAAAGGAAGCATAAAGCAAAGCATCAGATGCAACTGGTAGCACAAGGCCAGGAACAGAAAGCAGAAGAGCAGATTGGGAAGGGTGTCAGAGTGGCACTTGGGGAGGGGTAGGGCTTATTTGTGGCACACCTTCCCAAAATGTTGGCCTCCACTGTTCTAGTGGAGAGACCGCATCTCTTTCAACCACAAAGAAGAGTCATCTTGATAGTTTAAGAGAAAGCATAGCATAAGGTGTCCTAAGACACCTGGAGACAGGCTGTGGAATTACATAAATATGAAAGTCTTCAAGTATTCAGTAATGACACACATTAGGGCTGCAGGAGATAAGTTAGGAACTGAACAAAAATATGTAGAAACATTCCCTTTAACATCCATAGGCTCTGTGCTACTTTGAAGATTTCAACTCAATTAATTTTGATAGAGTCGACTTGCCCTTCAAATAGTCTACTAACTGAGCCATTCTGAAGTCAGTTTACTATGGAATCTTTACTTTTTCTCTGACCACTACTTTACCACAGTATCATTTACATATATTTTCCTCCTCAGTTCCATCAAAGTTGTGTAGTTTAGGCCCATTATCTACCTGGTAGTTCATCCTGAACATAGAAATTCCTGCTTGTTTGTCATCTGGTAATCCAAGGAAGGAAGTATGTAAGTTTAAAACACAATAAATTACAACAGATAATAATAATAAAAAACCTTTGTATCCATAGGATTCTTACCAACAAGAGTGCGTTTTCTTGCCCTGACACCTCCACAGTCCCCATTGCAGGAAGAAAATTTTGACCAGCTTGTGAACTGACAGTCATCTTGGCAAGGGATTTGGCAGGTCTGTGTTAATGGTGGTAAGGGGCTGGCATATTTAAGGCACTCGCTAATGTCAGCTTGTCCCCCATCTTGTCTACGACAGGTAATTGCTGAAAGCAAAAAAATTATGGGATTTATAATGAGTTGGCAGGCTTGTAATTAGTCTATAATATAGCAATTGACCAGGAATGTCTACATTTGATTTGATATAGCGTGTCAGACAATATTCTGCTACTAAATCACATCTTAAATCCAGAACAAATATGTGCAGAAGCTGGTTTTTACAGTCATTTATATATTGCACTTTAAATGTATACATTTGAAATTTATGAGAGGCTTTCTTTGTGCTTTATTATTTCTTTATTGACATTTATTGGCATCGAAACTTTTAAAAACAACCTGAAATATTAGAGTATTACAGCAATAAATATTATCAGTAACTGCTGCCTGTTATAGCTCTTCATATAATCACATTATATTACGCTGTTCGTTTAGAGATAGTGTTACGCTCCCCAACCCTGAATGCAGGCAGGGACATACTCCTGGGATACTCTCACATATTCAGGTTACCCTTCTGCCCCAAGCCCCTCCTTGCTGTCTACTGTTTGACTGCTGTGAACCAGCTGAGATGGGCTAGGGGCCAAGTCCTTCATCTGCAGTGCTTCAGCCTTATGCATTGCACCCAGGTCTTGCCAGCTCTTAACAGAGGGGATTTTGCCAGCTAGAAGAATCATACCTTGGTCCAGTCATTCGCTCAGAAAAGGTCAAAGGTCACCCTCTTCCTTGGAAGAGGCCTGCCTGTATAGTCAAATGCTCAAGATTCAGTTATCCCTGACAATAAGTGAGTTATTAAAAGATTTACTGTAGAAAGAAATCAATAGCCATATGCTGAGATGCATCCAAGAGTGCAATTTCTACTCAACCCTCTAGCCAAGGGACTCCACTGTTTCCCTATGCTGAGGAAAACAAAAAATAAAACCTTGCTCTCAAGGCAAAGCATAAGTACAGTTTCATATGTGGCAATTTACATTAGGACTGTGCAAAATGCCTGTGTTCCGTTTCAGTTTTGGATTCAGCACTTTGGAGGGACAGTGTTTCGTTTCGGTCTTTTGTAGGGCTGTCTGAAATGGCTGTGTTTCGTTTCATTTAATATTCAGCATTTCAGAGGGACAATGATTTGTTCTGGCGTTTTGAATCACTGTCCCGTTTCATTTTGGCCGAAACTGTTTCAGAGCTGTTTCAGAATTTCAACAGTCTTTCAGCCATAGGCTATAATGGGGAATCACAAAACTGCCTTTACCTTTCTCATTTCCTGCTTGATTTAGATGAAACTTGTGGGGATGCTAGCCCCTTCTGAGGCCATGAGGCCTGCCAGGTTTCAAGGAGGTAGGTACAGGGATTTCTGGGAAACTGCACCTCAAACGGCTGACAAGCAAAACTCATGACGTGTGACTGCAGGGATGGTAGGCCCTGTTCTCACCCTCAACTCCACTGCAACCAGTAAGCCTCAGGCCTCTCAAAGATATTACAGGTCTTGTCTTTTCCCCACCAGGACAGCGTGGTGGCTGGATGTCATCAGGTGCCTCCTGCTTCTACCCGCCTTTCACCAGGGAGGTTCACAGTCCTGGCACTTCGTGGGGCTGCCATGCCACCAGCAGTCCCACTCAGGCCTCCCTACTCTGGCAGGGTGAGGTTTTAGGTCATGTCCAGAATGAAGTGGGGCCTCCTCCTCCCCATATAGCCCCAACCCTTATACCTCCAAGTTCTTCCTGGCACAGGAGCTCAGCAGGGAGATGTCCTTCACCTACTGGCTGGTGAGAAACTAAACTGCCACCTCCAGCTCTGAGAGTGGGGCATTAAATGGCCGCTCTCATTAGCATCTGTCCTGCCACACACGGCCCCTCATGCAGGCATGAGAAAGGCCTGCCAGGTTCCAGGCAGAGTGGTGCAGGGGTTTTTGTGAAACTGCACCTCAAACTGCTAAAAGCAAAACTCATGTTATGGGTATGTTAAGGGGTGTAGGTTGTAGCCATGTTGGTCTAAGGACATAGCCCAGACAAGGCTCTTAGGGTCAAGCTGATCTCTTTCATTAGACCAATGGAATAGTTGAAGAAATTCTTCTTTGCAAGCTTTCAGGTTTAAAAACCCTTCAATCAGGCTAAGGAAGCATCTAATTGGTGTGTGTGTGCTGCTCCTGGATGGAAGGAATAGTGAAGAAGCCAGAGCTTGGTGCGCAATGCACATTAAATGGTTTAAAAAAGAGTGCACACACACCAACTAGATGCTTCCTCAGCCTGATGAAGGGTTTTAAACCTGAAAGCCCATGCCTTGCAGATGGCATTCCAGGCAGCTAAGCTCACCTGGAGCCTTACAACTCCACTGCAACCAGCAAGCCTCTGGCCTCTCAAAGATCTTATGGGTCTGGGCTTTCCCCAGCCAGGACTGTGCATGCACGTGGTGGCTGTGGGTTATAAGGTGCTTCCTACCCACCGTTCACCAGGAAGATCCTTGGTCCTGGCATTTCCTGGGGCTGGTGCACCACCAGGCCTCCCAACCCTGGCAGGGTGCAGTTTTAGGTCATGCCCAGGATCTGGGACCTCCTTCTTCCTCCAGCCCCATCCCCTACCTCCAAGTTCATCCTGGCATGGAAGCTCAGCAGGGACATGTTCTTCCTCTGCTGGCTGGTGATGCAGTGAGTGCCCCCTCCAGCTCTGAGAGTGGGGCACATTAAATGGTTTAAAAAATAATTTAAAAAAGGAAATAGGTGTGGATGGAGTGAGGAGGGTGGCACTCACTCTGTCTGCAGGTGGAGCTTGGGGAACCCTAGCAGCGGGAGGTACATCTTCAGGAACACCAGCTGCTCCACCAAACCAGCATGCAAGGAGTGAGGTGTCACAACATCCCCAGGAATGCTGAACACCCTCTCATTTGGAACACTGGTCAGTGGACAGAACAGGTGTTCCCGGGCAACCGTGTCCAGATCTTGCCACATCTGGCTGTGGCTTGCCCAATAGGCTAAGGGGTCACAGTCCAGTGGCTCCCTGTCCTCACCAAGATAGGCAGTCACTGAGGCCTCAGCACTACCTGCCCGATGCTGGGGTCTGGTGCGTCTGGGCCCCACCATTGAAGCCATGCCCTAGGCCCACATTTGCAGTGCCTGTCATGGAGGAGACTGGCTGCTTCTGGGAGTGCTGGCACAGGAAAGTAGATCCCCCTCTTCCACAACCCCCCACCTGTGCCCTTCTGCCTCCTGGACTTAGTTCACCGGCACCTTCATCCAGTGATCTACGGTTTTGCTGGTGCACATGCTCCCCTTCATCCTCAAGTCACACATGGCCACCAGCACGTGGACCATACTGGACCACAATGGATCCAGCTGTTTCTTGATGCCCTCCCTCAGCTGCTTCACCAGTGTCTGCACCTCTGGTGACAGCGATTTGCCCCAGCCAGGAACATTGATCCTTTTGAACTTCTCCATTTGGTTCTCAATATTATTCTGGCTGGTGTTATTGGAGGGAGTGCAGATACAGGCACTGGTCCCATCTCCTTGCTGCCACCACCAGCAGAAGCCTTATGCCTGCAACTGCTAGGGAAGAGGCTGTGTCTAAGTTGTTGGGGGGGGGGGGGAGACTTACAGCTCTCCCTCTCCCTCCCTGGCCAGAAGACCTGGCACCTGCCTTTCCAGCTTCATATTTCACGTGCTGGAAAAAAAATGTGCGTCTGTGTGACAGTGTGTGTAATAAATGTAGGTGTATTGAGTGCTTTCCAGACAAAGCACTACTTTCTTTTTGTTTGGCAGGGGGTGCAGGGGTGGAATGAGAAGAACAAATAACAGGATTTTTGGGGAAGGGCAGGCAAGGGTAAATAGAAAAGGATTAATGGCAATGGCTACAACTTGGTAGCAAGGCACTACCAAGATGCAAGCCAAGCTCACAGGTGCTGCTCTCTGTTGCTATTCCAGACGCTCACAGATGCAGCTGCAAAGTGACATACAAAAGTTCACAAACAGCCTTTTTATGGTGCTTCTCTATCCCTCCCCCAGAGCATTGCAATTGGACCTCAAGGACACATTCTTGTCACTGACTAGCTACAGATGTCATTATCAGAGCAGTCCTTCCCCCCATCCCCTTAGTTTCTCTTTCCTTGCAAGCCCACCTCCAAAACAGCTTGAAATAGCTCTGAAACAGCTCCAAAACATCTGAAACATTTTGGATGTCCATTTTGTTTTGGAGCCTTGTGTTTCATTCTGGATTATTTCGTGATTTGATTGTTGATATGCCTGAATACAAAATGAAACGAAACAGCCACCAAAACTTCACACAGCCTTAATTTATATACATTGCTCATCGGATTTATGGGGAGCCAACACTACGTAGATAACTTCATGCCCCCTGAAAAGTGCACATTTATGAGACTAAAGTCTTTCGTGATCTAGTTAAAACCAGGGGAACATTTGCATCCTTTCAGTCTTGAAAATTACTAATCCAGAATCCTAATCCTGTCTCTCATCTTCCCCTGGGGGTTTCGGGGGCTTGTGCAGAGCCCCCCATGTGATGTAGGGCAGCTGGGGGTAGTGGGGATCACCCCCCCCCCCACTGGCTGGAGTGGGCAGTGAGTTCTGGGGGGTTTTTTTTGGGGGGGGGTTCTTAAAGGGCCAAAGCTAGACCG